AATCCTAGGACTTCTGGCATTCGATTCACTTCTTCGCCTCCCTCGTCCACGCAGGGCTTGGAACTTTCCGCTTGTGGATCTGACTTCTGCTTGAGGACTTCCGTATTCTTAGAAAACTTCGTTGAAATCTTAGTAAATTCGACTGTTTTCGCAGTCTGAGAAGGTCGAGTCAGAACCCTTTAGACTGCAGAGAGTGAGCTATCTTCGGCATTGTAGTATGAGCTAGAAATGCATACACAGAGGGCGCCATTTTCTGAAAAAATCGGAGGCACTCCTCTGCACGTCGATGTTGAAGATTAGAAGCAGGATAGGTGAGGCCACGAAGTTAGCGATAATGACTAGATTCTCGAAAGTAACAACAATAAAGCGATGATAACCGGTTACGCCAAGGATCGGAATAACTTTGAACAGTGCCACTTCGACGGCAATGAATACGCTGAGCGGTAGAGTCTGAAATTACTTCAGTCAGCGTTTATTTACGATTACTATTAAGAATAGAAAAATTTTTGATGACGAATCGGTTGGGGATAGAATAGTGAAGCCGGTTAAAAAATAAAACTTAAAAAGCTATTTTTTGGCAGTGTGAAAAAGGAACGTTGGGCAGATTTGTTTCAGTCTCTTTACAACCTCGTTTCTTTCCTAGCACACATCGTGTTCAAATTTTCACGGTAGAAATGGGGAGAGCGAGACCCATCGGCAATGTGAGGTCCTTTTTAGCGACAAATCAAATGTTCCATTCCATGACGCAATGATATTCCAGCTGATAGAAAAGGTCTAATGAAGAAACTGTAAAGCAACAAACATACGAAATTCTAACCTGAATCAAGATTTTCTTTTCGTCTTTGAGTGTTCTACTAGAAGCTTTCCGCTGAACTGTCCTAATTTTTGTGAAAATAATTATGTATATCATACACATCATAGCGGCCAACACACAATATTGATACATTAGAAGCTAAAAAGCTAAATATTCTTTCCAGACTTTTAAATATTGAGGTGTTAAAGCTCAGAAACCATAGACTGGCATCTCTCATAGCTAATCTTTGCCGATTTTTCACTGCTTCCTATTTTTTCATGGTGGAGTGTATAGAGCAGTGGTCAGAGGTATCTTGAAATACAGGCGATATAGACCTGGCGCTACAAGCCCACCAAGCCTTCCACCCTCGGAATCAGCAAATTTATACCAAACCTGCCTGGGAGGACAGCACTACTTACTCAACAAATCGGTGGTCAACCGCGAGTCACTTTTATAAAAACGCTTTTAACAACTCCGTTAAGCCCAATAATCTAGAAAAATAATGTTCGAAGCTATGTTTAGAGCCTATAAAAGCCAGATGTGCATTCAATGACCTCTAGCATGGCTTAATAAAGTCGAATGTGAGGCGCGTCCCTCAGGGATTGATCAACATTGAGATCTCTTGGCTTTTATTTTTTTATGGCAGGATATTATGCGAAATACAAGCAAAAGCGTGATGAGAACAAAGGTCGGAATCCCAGATTATCTTCGAACCATCGATGATTCCTCTTCCTGCGAGCAAATCTGTAATCCACAACATTGCTGTTGACGGATGATTGTTGATAGGATCGTCAGAGTAAAAAACCGGTTGAGAAAAATGCAAAGCAAGGTCTCCGTTGATGTGATGGAGCATGTGAGCATCTGGAAATGACAGCTGTTCCGAAGCTCAACAGAAGTTCCGAGGTTCGTGCATATTTCACCATCCATGTGGTTCCAAGAAAATATTTTGTAGCAATTTTTGGCCACCTTTTCTATTTGTATTACGTCGCACCAGACATTTTGCGAACACAACCACTTCTCGCATTCGAGTCGCTTCCCGATACGTACGAGTTTCTTGTTGTTTCATCTGTCAGCTCATCTGTCAGGCGGCACTACCACCATCTCCTTTCCCTAAAACGTTTTATGGATAGCAGGACCCTAACGATGGAGTTGACATAAAATTCCGCGTGTTTTCGGACGGCGTTCTCAAAACCCTTGATCACTACCGCGATAGAAAGTTTATCTCTAACCTTACAGCCGCACAATTATGTGGCATGCGAGAAATGAGAGAGTTAATAAACTCGAAAACATAAGATTGTCTGTTAGTGATAAGGGGGAGAGTTCGTAGTTATCCCTCGCCAGCTGGATGTTGAGATAACAGAGGAACACCTTAGTGATGCTACCCTCTATCAACCATCCTCTGAAAAGGAATATAAAAGTCAATATCGAAAGCTAAGCAATCAATGGGTCAGCGTGGCAGGAGCTGCGGGTTTAAAATCCTCGGTTATTTCGCACTTTAAAATCGATAGACCAACATGTCCCGTCCTATACCTACTTATTAAAACACATAAGTTGGTATCACCTGATAATCATCCGTCAGCCAATCCGTCATCATTTAAGGTTAGACCGATTATCAGATGTGTAGACGAGCCAATGGATAGAATAACCCGGTTTTTAACCCTGATACTTACCCAGTTGCTTAACCACATTCCAGCTCACCTCACAAACACCCAAATGTTCCTAGGAAGTCTACGTAACGCGTCTCCTAACGATGCGTACGTATGGAGTCTTTCGACGTTACCGCGCTGTACACCAACGTGTCGAATGACTCCGCAATGCAAGCCATCTTCGAACTTCTTGTTGAACATGAAGGAAGAATAAATATGCATGGCTTGTCCATCCATCAGCTTATGGCTCTCCCAAAGGAGTGCCTAAACTGCTCGATTTTCAGATGGTCTGGGAAATATTTCGCGCAAATAAGGGGGTTGGCAATGGGACAGCGATTGGCACCAAGCCTTGCCATTGTGTTTATGTCTAAGATAGAACCCCCTGCTCTCGATCTCCGGCCACTACTCTACTGCAGATATGTAGATGATTGTTTTGTCGTCTTCTCTACGCATGAGGAGATGGACAGGTGCTTTGAATTATTGAACGAGCAGTACGAGTACATAAAGTTCACCCTAGAGAAACCGAGAAAAAATTGGCTTCCGTTTTTGGACGTTCAAATAAACCTATCAAGTAGCGGTTACCTGACAAAGTGGTACCGAAAGCCAAGTAACGAGAGCATCCTCGTTCATTTCCCTTCTTCCCACACACAAAGAGGGCTACTGTGAGAAACATGTTTCGAACAGCCACCTCTGAGTGCACTACCAGGGAACTAAAGGAAGAATCGCGCGACTTGGCTCGGTAAACAGCCATCTCCAATGGCTACGAAATAGTAACCCCACGAGATAAGTTTGGAAGGAGAGCGACGCTCCCACGCGAAACACTTGACCAAAAGAAAATCCCGTTTATGTTGCCTTTTATAAGCGATGAAGTAAGCGTAGCTATAAAACGATGCTTAAGAAGGGCAGGTCTTGAGGAATCGGTAGCGATAGTTGAAATACCACCGGCTACTCTACGTCCCCAATTAGTTCGCAACCGCCTGTATGACCGTTTATGTGAAACAACAAATTGCCTAATTTGCCCTTACGGCAGGGACGGTGATTGCATGAGTTCAGGTACGATATACCTGATCTCTTGTAATAATTGCGAAGACGAATATATTGGCGAAACGGGCAGACCTTTGTGTATCCGTGTAAAAGAACACGTAGATGGCAAACAAAAACTAAGACCAAGCACCGCACTAGGAACGCATAGGATACAAAAGCACAGCGGAGACGATTTTGAAGTAAAAGTCAATATCCTTGCACAGCAGTCCAAAACACCAGCGCGAAAACTTCTTGAGGCTTTTTGGATAAATGCCAAAAACCCTACAATGAATAGCAGGGACGAATGACCGGAGGTCATACGCGATCTGACGCATTCATTTTCCAATGCCGAGGCTAATAGAAAGTCAATCCTGGAAACTATTACAAAATGCTTTTTCAAAATTGAACGCCTTTCAGTAATTCAAAAGACCGACTTTCTTTAAACTTGAGCATAGATAATCGACAAATTTATTTATTTATACGTTTTTATAAACATTCTGTTGTTAAGCTAATGCGAAGTTGGTATAGTTGAACGTCTTTCCCTTTCTTTTTTCTGTTGCCATCTGTGTGAATTTTCCACATGAAGACATCCATCATTTGTGGCGTTTGTATGCATTAATCCTAGTTCTAGTGGAGCTATACTGTTGGTGCATTAGGATATTCACAAATTGTCCGTGCTCTTTTAGGTGGCTTCGTTCGAGAGCGCATTAATCTCCTCCCATTTCACTACTGTTGTTCTCTGCTTTCCCCCATGAACTGTTTTCGTCACACGACCTCCTCTCCTATAGTTAATTGCATTGCTCTTCGTCAAAGAGATGAAATATACAACGAAGGTCTAAACTGACGAATTCGCATCGATGTGTACTTGATGCATTTTAAAAAATGAAGAAATCTGTCGGTGATAAGCAGACTTTTCGCGGATTCTCGGTATTCACGGCCTACGAAAGAAACAAGGTATTAGAGCAGATTGATCCGGGACCGTAGCTTGCTGATGATTCCTTTAGAGGACCAAGGCGGCTGATCAGTCTTTTCGTCTCTTTTGAATATCCTTTCCGATCAAACCAGTATTTGCTAAGCGCTCCTCCGTCTAAGCCATCCGTGAAGCACTTGCTTTTAAAATTCGACGAACCATCCGAATTTGATGTCTGCTGGAATTCGGCTTTCTTTAATGGTTGCTATCATATCCTCCAGGAATCTTTTATATGTGTGGTAGATTCATCCTACTATCGAACTTGTTAGTGAGCACTCAAAAAACACCACAGTGCTGTTTCGAATATTCTCAATTTCCATGTTCCGCTGCTTCCCTTCCTTTAGCTAAATGACCGTGCTGGTAGGGAAATTTCGAATGCTAGTCTAGTTTATGTTGTAAATGTGAAAGCTGTGTGAAATAGTCCCCATCTGCGTCCTATTTTGCTTGAGGATCTCTCAGGATTACAACATATAATATGTGCACACTTGAGTGGAAGTAGTTGAAATTCCCAGGTCATACCAGGTCTGTCATCCTTTGCGCAACGATGGATACAGGAATTCGATTCTTTAAAATTTAGAAGGACAGGATGAATAAAAATCGAATATAGATATACGATGTCCATTGTATATCGAAATTTTTAGAACTGTAATTATTCCATAACGTAACGTATTGTTACCGAGGTCTAAAAAATGTTGTTAAACTTCTGTGTGCGATAATATTTATCTCGAGTTACTTTCTTGGTTCATTCACAATATAACCCTTTTTCCGTAGGAACATCTATAAGGGAAAAGTTGAGCCCTTACTTGATTATAGAGGTTCGCAGCACTCTCCAGATCTGGGCAATCATACCAGAAGTACAGTTCTGAAAAAATTGTTGTTATTGTTGCTTAATTCTTAGATCTAAACGAAACAGCAATAATTCTTTTAAAAAAATTAACGCACTGCTACTGGAAATACATTTGACGGCTTAAAATTTTTAATAACTACACCGGAATCTCCATTTAAAGAAGCCACAGTGTTTCAAATCGATTCACCTTCTTCTGAGAACACTTTTGTGCACCCTAGAAGTTGGTTGACTATCAAAATAGCAAAGATGTAGAGCCAAGTTACTATCGAAATTCTGAAATCACATCCAATTCCACATGCCATTAAAAAGTTCGTCCAAGCGTCTAATATTTGTCAAGTTAGAGCGACCGTTATAACTTCGTGTTCGTGTTCTCCAACACTGAGATGGTCTTTATCTTTCTTCTCCACTTGTTTTTATCGAAGTTGTGTTGCAAAATGGAGTTCTCATTACCTCTAAAGGTGCAGCTTAAAATTTTTTTCTGCGCTTTGGCTTGAGCGACCACCGTCGGAACGCAGAATACGTTTCCCACTTTCAATTTGGAAAAGTGGTTAAATCGGAACTCTTAGGAACGTTGTGGCTCGTAAGCTGAGAAGGAACTTACATCAGAGTGCTTTTTGACGAGAAGAATTTGTCATTATTCCTTTGAAATACGAATATGGTAAGCCTGTTGACTGCGATCAGAAATAAGAAAAAGATCATCCCATTAAAGGCTACGCCTTCAAAGAATAGTGGTCCATAATAAAATGTGAAACTGTCGCCCATATACTGAAAAATAGGACCTTGCCACGAAAAAACCTTTTTTGTGGTTATTTACGCTTGACCAATTTTCTGTTGGGTGCGGGAGAGGATAGCGTGGTAAATTAAGAGCGAAGGAATCGAGAGTTCAACTTAACTCATATTCTGGTACCACTGAACCTTCAGAAGGTGTGCTGTGTCATTGCAAACATTTATGTCGTGCCATTGATTATGATAGCGAAGAAATAAAGGATTTCATTAGATAGCCGAGAAATTCTAGACGTGCTCAAGGTGATCAGAAAAAGTGGAAGTAGCCCACTACAATTTACTAAGAGAATTATGAACAATTCTCTAAGCCTACTACAATCTTCACGGCAGGGTATTTTGCTAAATCAACCACAACGATGCTGAGATATTCGCAAAACTTGTCCAGATTGAACCACGATTTCCCTTTCCGGGGGTCGCATATTACATACTGCGCCACAGAGGCCCTTGTTCGGCACTTCTTAGCTAGTTTTATATCTACCAGTAGCCTTGACATTTTGTGAGCGCATACGAAAAATACTTAGAAGATGCGCATTCGCCAAGAAACTGGCAAACATATTTTTCGATTTCCAGTATAGATTGAAGAATGAAATTGTGTTAAGAAAAATCTACCTGCACTCCTGTCAGTGTGATTGGGAAGGCAATAAATAGGAAGAGGAAGAGAGAGAGGATGTTGCATCCAATAACTTGTATCATTAACAAGTAAAAGGAGTTTCCACGAAATTTATGCCAGTCCTGCAAAGCTCTACTTTTTAACGCCAATGTTAGGTCGAAGATTCAACACGTGCCACAAACATTGCAGGTTCTCTAGGTACACGTGAAAATCTCATCGTATGTTCTGTAGTCATAGTAGATGAGGGTGAATAATACAATGAGGAATCCAAATTCTACTAGCAGTAATAGAAGCAAACGAAGAAAAGGTCAATCTAACAAGGACTAAGAATAGTTCTACTATGCCTCTAAAACCTTTTTACTTTTAAAATTTCAATTAGAACATTATGATTTTCCTCTTAATATCATAACTCAACTACCTTGTAGAGCGCGGCCAGAACGGTGAAATGGAGTACCACTCCTATGAGTGAAGGAAGAAAAATAAAAATGGCACAAATCACTCGTATAACCGGAGTCGCCTTGATATCCATAGCGAGCAAAAGAAACGCATTTATATTTTCCACAATCCTGAAATTGTAGTGACAAGAAATACTTTGCACAAAAGAAAGTTTAACTGCTTTTCACTTTAGTAGAAGTGGCATCGCTTGCTTCTTGCTACCACTTTCCACGTTTAGTTTATCAAAATCGCAACCTCAAAGTTGGCGATTGGCGATAACACTTTGCCATAGAATGAGCGGCAGACTAACAATGTTAGTCGACAATCACGCAAGGGAATTCTACTTGCACTGCATATAATGCCCAAAAACTATGAAATTTAAGAACTACACGCGCAAAGAAAACTGCAGAAAAAAAGTTGAGGTTGAATACTAAGCAAAGAAAAGAATGTTAAACAAAAGGAGAAAGTCCTTCTACATTGTCAGGCATTACCGGCCACTGGGCTCTATAGGTCCACTAAAAAGATGTAATCACAATCTGTTAACTTTCATTTACTGTCCATTCATACACCTTTTCCTGATTCGCACAACAGATTTGATTGGTGTCAGTAAAGAAACAGATAGAATAAAATACTGGCTGGAGGAAGGCAAAGCAAGGCCCATAATTGATGTGGTGGATAGCGCGCCACGCTAAGAGTAATCGCCGGTTTGAAGGCTAACTGAGATGCCAAGTTTTGCTAATGTCTCAATATCTTTGCGGTACTACTTAAAAAGTTTCGTTTAGAGCGATTATAAAGAATATATTGGTTTCCGACAACAAACCATAGCAAAGAAGTACCGAAAACATTAAGCTCTGTCTCTACATAAAATTTCAAATGTTCCATTAATGTCATTTGTCAACAAGTAACATCCCTGCGGTCTTAGATAGCCTTTTCGATCTCGGACAGGTCCTAAGGTCCTTAATAGTCTTTAAGGTTAAAGAACCACAATCAAACGATATCTGTAAAAAGCTGATTTTTCGGCAGAAGTGACAACGCGCAGAGATCAGTTATTAGGAACCACCACAAAATCACAAGCACTTCATGTAGAATTATTATGAAAATCCACCTGCGTTATAGCCATTTAGAGAAAGCTTACCATATAAATCAAAATTCTATAAGAGCGTATTATTTAAGCAGTAAAGATTTTAAACTCTTTACCCTGGGAATATGCCTGGGAACCGTATTCCTTGTTGAAATATGAAAATAGAAAGCACAGCTCGATTTTTGGTTGAAGTCACTTATTAAATGACTGTCACAATTTGTATAGTTGCGAAGACCGCTATTTTAGAAAGGCCACTGTTCAACCAAATCTCTTAGTTATAGATTCAACAGAAACCCTCCAAAATAAAAAATACGTCATGAAGAAATCAACACTTGAGAAACATAACTGTCCTGTATAAAGGAGCGCCGTGTGATGAGGTTCGCTCATTCGAGCATTGCCGCACTGAAGATGATTGTACTCGATACGAAGATGGGGATGCCACTCAGAGAAGAAGAACGACTTTGGACCATCGACCCGGATTATTGAATCAGATGAAGACGAAAACGTCGAGCCTTTAGCCGAATAAATATTTTTATCGACGTCGTGATAGCTTAACTTAAAGAATTAAAAATTATTAATATTATAAAAATTAAAAATTAAGAATTATAGCTTAAAGAAGATATTAATACATGAGATTCAAAAAATTTCGGCTGTAATATCTTAACTGGTGAGATTTCGATGTGTTTAGAATTTCCACTAACTTTCCACCAACTAGAATTTCCACCAACTAGTTCCATATCTATTTGTAACAAGATTCGGTATGATATTAAAAATAGTTTTAAAAAAAGTTCGAAAATCTATTACTCCTTCAAAGATTAAAGCAAAACAACACTGTTGGTCACGTCTTAAGCAATAACTCTAACACACAGTGCGCACAACAAAAGGTCAGCAAGAGTTACTGCGTTAAGAGGAATTGCGCATCCCGAAAGTGCGCGATAGCTTCTAGAATCGGGCCCGAGTTTCTCGCCTAATGACCCCACTTCTAAAACAATCTTGTGAAGGACCACATACCGTCTACATTATTTTCGAGTTTAACTGCGCTAAATGACTTGCCCAGAATGGTTATTTAACGCAAGGCAAAAGCATTACTACCAAACCTTTCACCCGAGCTTTCTTGAAGCATGAACCATAAAATAACGAAATTGTCCTGCGTTTCGCTTATTTTCGGTCGAAAGGCTCCGAATATTTAATCACTGCCGACATAGAAAATTAAGCTCAAAGTCATACC